ACAGCATGCCGGACTTCTTTCCGTCTGTTGAGCTCTAAAACTATGCCGTATCTGTCCGAAGGCTTAGTACAGCTAAAGCAAAAACCTGACGCTCGAAGTTATTTGGGTCAGCTCATTGGAATTCTGTTCCCGAAAAAATCGTAAGAAACGCATTTTTCTCACTTATATATCGAATTTAGAAGCGAAATTTTCTAGCACAAGTTATTGTGTTCGTTTTCTCTGTTCATATAATAACAAATAAATCTTAAATATTACCATCTTCAAATCATATACTGTCGGGTTTTCCGTGGCTTATAAATTTCAAATCGGAAAAAAATAAAATAAAACTGAATACAGAATATGAAATCGTAACTTAAAAAGATTTATTTGTTTTAGAATATTTCCTGGAGAACGCTAAATAACTTCAAAAATTTAGTCTTATTTTGTTTTTTTCCGATTTGAAAATTACAGGCCACGGATACCCCAACAATAATTTAGAAAAACTTTGTAATACTAGAGTGGTCGTTTAGAAAAATCTGCACTGCAATTCCAGAAAATATTTTTGTTGCTCATACTGGTTCCTATAATTCACGCCTCTAGATTCTTGTCTCAAAAAGCAGTCACATCCAGAATAAAATTTACTAAGGGCACGCTGTATAAAGAGAGCTGTATTCCTGCACTAAAACGGAATTGTCTGTGGGACTTCGTGTACATTAAGTCGTAGTGTACTATTTATACGTTGCACCCTGTTGCATCGTTAATATACAGTTTCTTTACTTCATACTAACTCACCATCCAAGTTACACTACATACCAGGCAGAACACAGCATTCATCAAGAAAATATGTCAGGACAAAAAGATCCAAAATGTGACTACACCATACCAGAAACCATATTCCCCAAGCAGAACTCGAACACAAGACCAGTACACCATAGGAATAATTTGCTCACACGTGTCATCATTTTAGACATGATTTAATATTAAAATAGTAACTTTATTAATTCTAATTAAAATTTGAAGACTTTAGAACAAAATAACTTTCCACATATACCCTTATTTTAGATTTAATTCGATGTTAAAATCATAATTTTATTATGTAATTTTAACTCTGAGTCTGAAGGCCTGGTAACAAGGCAATATCAAAAACAAAAATAACCTTATAATAAATATTCATATTTGTCATAAATGTAGCACTTAACAAGAAATATCATCCGATGATGACCCATTAGGGGTCGAAAAATGTTGTGCCAGAGATACAAAACATCCGTGTAAACAGGGCATTTGTATACTTTCACAAACCCTAGTGTCGACTGAAAAATACGAAATAAAGAAATTATATGGTACACTATTTATAAATACACGAATACACAAATAATTACATCACATATGAAATTACACCTGTCCTCCGATCACAGTGGCCACACGGCCTGAGGCATGAACCGTCTTGGCCCGCTAAAACACTGGGGTCGTGAGTTCGTCCCTTTCGAGCCTTGGACGTCTGCCCCCGTTTCTTCTGTGTTAGTGATGTCCTGTGTACGTACCGACCTTGCGACGGGCTGAACCCCGTTCAAGGTCCTAATACGAACTCCATAATCCAGCGCTAACATGTCTCATTATTGTGGTTACCCTAGAACATACTCGTATGTTTTCTCTCTCGTCACGACTTCACTGCTGTTTCCATTACAACGCTTTTCTTATAAAAAGGTAGAGCTATCCCTATAACAGACCGTTATGGCCCATAGGGATGTGAGACGTTGAGGCTCTCACATTTTCTAAACAATCGGCTCACAGATGGCGGTAAATTTGTCAGCCTTACGTGCCGGCCACCCTTTACCCCCACGAAAATTCTTGGTACTCATTTCTGTTAGAAGTTGTGTCGACCCCAGGACCATAGTGCGGCTGTTCTTATGGAGGGAATAATTAGGTAAAATTTGGTTTGGACTCGAATCCATGTAATCAAAAGCAAAATTAATTGGTCCCTAAGTTTTTTCTTTTTTACCATTTCTTCTTCTATGACTCTCTATCTGGAAGACACTGTTGGGAAAAGATAGAAGGACTGGCATATGTTTGTCTATTATATACTTATATACGCAATATTGAACTATTGTCTTGTAACTGTTTCATCCTTCAATACAACGATTGTCGAGAACATATAAATTCCTGAATTACTGAATCATATTTTCCATTATCCTTGATTTCCATCCCCACGCATGCGTAGTAATTACAGAGTTCTAGATCATCATTTCCCTCGAGCGCCAAATTGCGTCGAGGCTGAATACTGATAAATACATTGTTGCCGTTAAACATAATTCCAGAAGCAATGCTTCATTGTCACTTTGCAAATTGTGTCTCACATGCCCCATTCCTGTACAACTTTGGGCTACTACCAGTTAGGGGTCTGCAAAGTGGAGCGCACAGGATGCTTTGTTCCCATTGGAGATTTACCCACACCACAAGACTTTTCAATTATGACGTAAATTTTGTAGGTATATAAAGTGTAGGCGAAAAACTAAAAGCTTTCTTAATATAAAAATATTGTTAAAGTAAATCGCGTCGACAGATTTTTCATACTCTAATTCTTGAACTATCATTTTCATACAAATTCAGTACCGAAGAATGCCGTCTTCTGGGATGTGGTGCCTTGTAGATCTTGTGTGAACCGACGTTTCGGAGGAACGTCTGTTCACACAAGATCTATACGACATCACTTCCCAGAAGATAATTTTTCATAGTTACCACCGTCAAATCTTCAAATCTTACAAATTAATTTACCTAGGTTTATACAGGTTCTACGCAGGTACTTCCATAATTTCTTAGCCTTACAGGTACGTTAGAGTAAACTTTTATTAACTCAACAAACAATAAGTTAGTTTTTTCTGCTCTTTATATTTTCTTCATAATTTACTATGTTTTATCAAAATATATTAAGTTCACAATGGCCCTCAAAATATTAAAATGTGCATGACTTGAAAATAAAGCAAAGAAAACACATAGCATATTATATGGACATGTATGCTGATACTGGTTTTATTAAGGGGACAAACTGTATAGCAAAATTCGATGCACTGCCTGTACTTCTAACAAAGCTATTGCATCAAAGCCAGACAAAGGCTTTTTCCATTTTATTCTACATTCCCATATGCGCATCTGATGGGGTCAAAGTGACAGAAACATACAGTGTGAATAGTACAATAAACTCACTCACATAATGGTTTCGCTTGATCCCAATCATTTTATTGTACAATATTCAAACGTTTCTGTGTAACGGTACAAAAATATTAATAGAATAAATATAAAGCAGGATGTACAAAAAAATAAATTCTTTCTAAGCGTCTGGTCAGTAACTTCTTCGTTTAAGAGATGCGTGTATGGAAAGAGAACAGATCTATTTCGGACGTACATGATACACAGTGTTGCTTTTTATTTATTTATTTATTTTTTTTTCTTAGTGGGGTTGTGGAGTCCAACTGGGTCCACTCGGCACGGCGGCTACTGATTCGCCTATTGTAGCCTGCCCCGGGTGAGTATGATAATGGAGAATTTGGTGGAATGAAGATTAACAGGGGAAACCGAAGTACTAGGAGAAAAGCCGCCCCAGCGCCACTATTTCCACCACAAATCCCACTTGACGAGACCTGGGATCGAACCCGGGCCGCCGCGGTGGGAAGCCAGCGACTAACCGCTTGAGCTATGGCGCGGCTCGTTTTATTTTAAACGAGAATCAAAAACACTACACTGATCGGCACTGAGAGATAGGCTGTGTTCCCTTAGCCGTCAGCAGGCATTCGATTACTTACCGAGTTTCTTGGTGCTGAGCGCAAATTTCCACCGTCGCAGCCATAAATATCGAACTCAGACCCTCTCAGTGTTCTCAAAAACGCAGTTTTGGCCTGCATTTCTTAAAGCAAGGTAGTGACATTATTATGGTGTCTATATGTCTCTGTCTGTATCCGTGTTCCAGCTTTCAAATTTTGAACTACTTGTCCGATTTTCACAAAATTTTGTACTAACATTATACCACTCAGTACCACCCTAAAGCCATACTTTCTATTTCCTACAATCAGTGAGATCAACATGGCGGACAAGCAGACAAGCGAACATGTGAGGTGGGAGCGACATCAGCGCCACTGGTATCTTCTATTACGGAACTTTTTCGTATAAAATAAAATACTAACATGGAGATTATGTGAAGTTTTCTTTAGCTTCCGATGTGAGGGCGAAAACTAATTAATCGTTGGAACTAAACATGTGAAATCTGACTTACTCTGTAAGTATATATTCGCTTGCAACAACAGACATCAGTTGCATAAATATTAATCCATATAATGCTCATTAATTTTAATTTTAATAACTTGAGGTATAGTACATCACAGAGATGTGTATGATGATGATCTAAATTAATGTAGAAATATACAGCCCAATTTACGTTTACATTAAATAAGTAAGATATATACCAAAAAAAAAGGACATCTGTTGTCTTCAATGAAGTTATTCCCGCTTTATTTGTTGTGTTGACGGTTATAATATGATAAATATTATATACACGACTGGATGCAATCTATACATTTTATTACCATGTTCACAACAGCTCATTCTGGACAGTTCCCAATCTTTGTACGGCGAAGCTAATGTAACGTGTTTCGTTACTGAAGACGCCGTTCGGATTGTTAATTGGTTTATTCAACAACCTACAAGTAACGGCTACAATTAATTATTACACTGTTGCGGGGTTTCACGACTTATAACCCTATGCGCAAATCGGTTCACTCTGTCTTCAGTAGTCTACANTTCCAACCTCTCGCTGAAAAGGACCTCAGCTGTCCGCGGCTGATTATTCAAAACACTGACAGCGTTCTTCACGTCTGCAGTAGGTCACTTGAGGACACAAAACCTCCGGAGCAAAAGAATCCAAAAGGATCAAGCTCACGAAACAAAGCAACATATGACCATCCGGGTGCGCGAGGGATTACCGCAGTTTTATTGCCCTCCAATATGAGTGAATATAAACAGAAGAATCTTACCTTTCGGTGCTGATGAGGACGAGGTAACATAAAACCAGAGTAGACAGGAACGTAATGAGAAGGCCTTGCACCTGGCAGAAATCTGGAACCACTGTCATTGGGCCTGGAAAGCATAGCAAAACAAATTCCAAGTTACCGTTACGTTACTGCAGGCCTAGGCATTCAAGTTCCTTTCATCAGGTTCTGTTACTAAGCATCGTGGTGATGATAGGATCATCATAATATTTTATGAGTTAGAAGAATTTGTACATTATGAATCGTATTCGAACGAAATCTGGCATCGTGCATTTAAAATGTGGGCTAGCATAATAACGACACACGAGCTAAGTCCATAGAGTCGAGCCCTCCTTGAGAAGCTGTCAGTTGCTCAGCTACTCAAGAATCTCCCAACATTTTTTTTTTTTTTTGGAAACCGAAGGTTCACTACAGTGTTCAGAAGAGCCTTCCACTGGTCTCTGTCCTTAGTCAGATAAATGCAGTCCATACCACCCCATCCTATCTCTCTAATCCATCTCAATATTATCCTCTCACCTACGTCTAGTCTTCCTAGAGGTCCCTGTCATTCTGGTTTTCCCAACAGAACCCATTATGCATGCTACATGTCCTGCCCATCTTATCCTTCTTGACTTGATAACTCTAATTATATTTGGTGAAGATTATAAGTTATGAAGCTCCTTATTATGCAGTTTTCGCCAAATCATACAAATCTAACTTCGACTTTAATGATTCCATTAAAAAATACAAAATAATCAAACTCCTTGACCTGTCGTCCGCAAGCGAACTATACCGACCGAGCGACCGCCGCTTATCAGCGAAGTTAGTACCAACTTCAGCGGATAGAGCGTGTTGCGTGGTCAGCGCAACGAATACCCACGGCCATTAATTTCGGATTTCTAGACCGGAGCAGCTATTTCCTTGAAATAGCTCCTCAGTTATCCTCACGAGGTTGAGTGGACCCCGTTCCACTACTTATCAGAAAATCTTGTAGCGCCGGGAATCAAACCCGGGACCTCTGGATCTGTAGCCAGGAACGCTGACCACTGGACCACAGTAGCTATCATAGGACTCGTATAATTTTACATAACGAAGGTTTCCATCTGTAATATCAACTTGAGAATTTCGAGAGTTTTTTTCAACAAAGAGAAACATCAGCACAACGAGACATTAGGAAAATTTCTCCGTATCGAGAAGGAATAAACTAGTCGCATGCTCATCATTCACTCAGAGGGGCGCGGAGAGTTCAGTTCTGTCTTTGACAGGCTCTCGTCTCCCAGAAGTGTCACCTTCTTCCAGTGCCAGATCCACAAGACACGTGTCACGAACAGCGTATGAAACGTCCATACAGTCGCTGTATTGAAATCTTCAGTTTCACAGAAAAAGAACAAGGTTTTAAAAATACAAATTTTTGGACAAATTTCAGTTTATAAAATTAATGATAATGGCATTTCTTCTAATCAAATATTTCACTATTCCAGCATAGAATTTGTCGAAGAATGTAATTAAATGCATAACGCTGATCTCACCCCCATTGACTTGACCACCCTACTTAAAAATTATTTTTTATTTAATTCGCTTAGTGGGGGGTGGAGTCCATCTGGGTCCACTCGGCAAGGCTGCCACTGATTGGCCTATTGTAGCCTGCCCTGGGTGATTATGATGATGTAGAATTTGGTGGAATGAAGATTGGCAGGGGAAACCGAAGTACTCGGAGAAAACCAAACCCAGCNCAGCGTCACTTTGTCCACCACAAATTCCACTTGACTAGACCCTGGATCGATCCCGGGCCGCCGCGGTGGCAAGCCATCGACTAACCGCTTGAGTTATGGCGCGGCCTCGACCACCCTACTTGCTTCCAGGAAACTTATCCCTCCTTGGAAATAATTAAGGGGGATATACACGCACAGGGACAACATTAATGACCTCGCAAGACCATTTTTTTCTCAAAGAAGTTAACTTGAATTTGCTACTGAAGCGAGTGGAAAGGGCGGTAACTTTTGTGATTCCCAAGAGAGAAACGTCGAGGTCATATTACAGGAGAGAAACGGCTAACCATCTAAATAACTAAGTAACTAACTTACTAACTACATGGACCTGAGTTCTCTTTGTGAAGACTGCAGCCGCTCAGTTACTCAGGAATTTCCCAACATTTTATGGAAGCCGAAGGTTAATTATCGCGTACACAAGAGCCCTCGGCTGGTCTCTCTTCTGAGCCAGATAAATCCAGTCCATGCCACCCCATTCTATGTCTCTAAGATCCATCTTACTATTATCCTCCCACCCAATTCTAGATCTTCCTAGAAGTCTCTTTCCTTTTGTCTTTTCCCCTCTTACACGTGCTTCATACCCTGCCCTTCTCATTCTCTACGACTTGAACAGTCTAATTTTATTTGGTGAGGAGTACAAGTTACGAAGTTTCTCTCTGTCCAATTTTTTTTTAAGCTATTGTTATTTCATCGCCCATTGGTCCAAATAATCACACCCTGTTCTCAAAGGCCTTCATTTCATGTTCTTCCCGTAATGTCAGAGACTAAGTTGCAAATCCAAAAAACTACAGGTAAATTTATTGTTTTCACGTTTTTAGACAGTAGTGTTCTGAACTGAATGGTAGCAAGCATTAACCGAATATAAACTATTCGACTACGGCAGATATTCTTGCTTCATTCTCGAACAGAGCTTTCCATGTAACAGGCAATGGAGGCCCATAGGGCTGTGAGACATCGAGGCTCCCACATTTTCTGGACAATCGGCCCATAGATGGCGGTGGGGTTGTCAGTCTTACTCACCGGCTGTCCTTTTACATCCAGAAATATTCCTGGTATTCATTTCTGTCACAAGCTGACTCGACCCCCGGGTCATAATGAGGCTTGAAGGATTACGTCAATTGAAAAGCACAGTGACCTCATCGGGAATTTAACCCACGACCTTCCGGCTTGTAGCAAAGTGCCTCAACCAACTACGCTACCGCGTGACCCACTTCACTGATAAGCGATCCTTAACCTGAGTCGACAACAAACAAACGCACTCAAAGAAAACATCCAGAACTCCAGCAAATATTTCTTGGAATCCACTTGAAAAAATACATTTCTCTCTAGTATTCAAATTTTTCTGTTCCAACAAGATCGCTGAATATTCCTCCGAAACAGCGGCGATCACTCGCGAGACCACACGATGTTACATGTCAGGATATGATAAAATGAACCAGGCCTCATCTCCATTCTCCTTGTAGCTCCTGCGTCCTGAGACTTTACTGGACGCCTATCTATCTTCCGAATAGCTCCAAAGTAGAGTTCAAGTGTTCTTAAGTACTTGGAAGAGAGAGTTCCGGAGAAATCTTCAGACACTCCCGCCGTATTTCCGTGAGTGAGATGGAGAAACGTTAAGACTGAACATTGCTCCCGTTACAATTTACATACATTAGAATGAGGTAAGTTTTAATGTCTTCAGTAATTATAATATAAAAGTTATTAAACTTGAATTTTAATAATTAAGAAGAGTTCTATCTTCTGTGTTATAGCCTAATTCCATGTAGCCCGCTGGAAGTGAACCGACGGTTCGGACGAACATGTCGCCTTCTTCTTCAGGATTCAAGAATAAACCAAGCAAGCAAAATTGTTGCTTGTTGGATCTGTTTCCGTCCTCAGGTGAGGTGTTTTCCCTCACCTGAGGACGGAAACAGATCCAGTTTCCGAAACGTCGTGTTTTTCTTATTTATCTTAAAACCAGGACGATGGATAAAGTCCGAAAACCCAATATCTCTATGTGTTATACACCATCTTCAGAATCCTATAGTAACTACTAAATCTTTATCTGCTTACTTACTCATGGAGCTGAGCCCTTCTGGAGGAGCGGCCAATTCTGCAGCTATTCAAGAATTTCCCAGTAATTTATGGAACCCGAAAGTTCATTACAGTGTTCACAAGAGCCTTCCACTGGTCCGTATCCTGAGCCAGACCAATCCAATCCATACCATCCCATCCTATCTCTCTAAGATCCACTTTAATATTGTCCATCCACCTACGCCTTGGTCTTCCCAATGGTCTCTTTACTTCTGGCTTTCCCACCAATATCCTATATTCATTCCTCGTCTCCCCCATTCGTGCTAATCTTGTCTGGGACAATGTAATAATTAAAACAAGTTGTACAAAATTGTAATTTTGCCGGTTCTTATATATGGACGTGGAACTTGATTTCCATATTAATTAGGGGAAAAATTATAGACTAAGTTTGTTTAAGAAGATATTGAGAAAATACTCGGGTCTGAGAGGATGAGCATAACTGAAGGCTGGAGAATAGCCCATAATGAGGAGCTTCAGCATTACAAAATGATTGTCCATTTCAAATATTATTACAATGACAAAACCAAACAAGATGAAACGAAGAGATGAGAAATGCATACAAAATTCTTGATCGAGACATATGAAGGTAACAGATCACTTGAAAACCTTAGTCGTTGATGTGAGGATAATATTAAAATTAATTAATTTTAGCGAATTGTTTTAATTGTTTTTTAGATTATTTTTGTAGTATAGTTTTCGGCCCAAGAAACCCGCATAATAAAGACCTTCATAACTTGTTTTCTTCGACCCATAATTAAAATTATCAAGTCAAGGAAGATGGGGTGGGCAGGGCATGTATGGCGTAAGGGAGGCAAGGAGAAAATATGCAAGATATTGATGGGAATATCAGAAGGAAAGAGACAACTAGGAAGACTGATAGGTAGACGGGAGGATAATATTAAAATGCATCTTAGAGAGATAGTCTGGGGTATGTTTTGGTTACCTCTCCCTCATATATTGAATGGATGATCGGCTTCTAAAGACAGAATTCGGGTCAGCAGAATTAGTTGTAACTCTGATAATGGGACATTAGCATATATATGTAAGTTTGATCTGCAATTACTGTTACATCAACTTCTTATTAAAGCACAATAATTTTATGATTTTGGAGAGCCGGGATAGCTCAGTCGGTACAACGACTGGCTACTGCCTGGACGACCGAGAAGTCGGATTTCTAGTAACGGTACGATCAAGAATTATCTCTTCTCCAAATTGTCCAGACCGGCTCTGGGGCCCACCCACCCTCCTACCCAATGGGTACCGGGGGCTCTTCCCTCGGGGGTTAAAGCGGCCGGGTCGTGAAACGAACCACTCACCTCCAACTAGTGCCGAGGTAAAGAAAATATGGATCTATACATCAATTCCCCCATACGCCTTCATGGCGTAGTGCTTAATTTGTTAAGTACGGGGAACACTTTACCTTATTAATATTTCTTGCCTAAGAAATCAGATCGGCATTGACCTGAATCTGATGTCCCCCATTTAATGCCACTCCAATAACCCGTCACAGCAAGCGTTTAAGTCAAAATTAATTAACCTTCAAATTAATTAGTCTCGTTCACAGACACGGCATTCAGGTTGTGAACCACGTACCCGAGTCTAAACTTTTGTTTCCCGCTACGTGAGATCGGTGAAGTTCTACGTCTCTAGTGAAGCAATGGAGATAATTAGATCTCCATCGGTGAGTGGAGAAATTTTAGTACGCATGCGTATGCCGAGAGATAATGCAATGAATACAGTATAGTAGGATCTATATGCGAAAATGGGCTTCAAATATGCGTCTTATAATTGAATCTGCATGGAAATGTATGTTATATAGGCATTTAGCATTCACCTACACGTTACAAGATTGGCTTGTGTTGCAAACAGTAACATATGCTAGTAATGCGTGAACATGTGTCACACCATTCGTGTAATAATATTCATTTCTCCTTATTTATGTTCGAACTCCCATCAATACACCATCACCAATTTTCTTTGTATACTTTCCTGTAAAGTATCGCATGTATGCTATGGTTCTCAGCAATTGACCTGCGCGCGCAACACCATTCTTCGCCTTTGTTCGCGCATCGGCCTTGCACCGACATATCAGAGGGTTTACCATTTATATAAATTATACTTCCCTTTCGCTTAGGAAAGAAAGTAACCTTACGAAATCATCCAGTATGTGTCTGAGTGTCCCATTTTTTATCTTCGAATCAATTCAAAGGAACTGAGGAAATTAGCTTCTAACATTGCATAATTTGAAGGAACTAAATCTTGGTACATTTCTTAATTCCCATAATCAGTGGGAACAACATGGAGGACGAGCGAACATCTGAGATTGGAACGTTACATGGCACAGTTATAACAAATTCCTGAAATTATATACCATAACAGATGAAATTTTAGGGGCACGTGGTAGCGTAGTTGATTGAGGCACTATGCTACAAGCCGGAAGGTCGCGGGTTAACCCGATGAGGTCATTGGAATTTTTTTTCAATTGACCTAATCCTTCTAGCCGCACTATGGTCCTTGGGTCGACTCAGCATCTAACAGAAATGAGTACCAGGGATATTATTGGAATATTCTTTGGGGTAAAGGGAGGCCGGAGCGTAGGGCTGACAACCTTACCGCCATCTATGAGCCAATTGTCTAGAAAATGTGGGTACCTCAACCTCTCACAACCCTATGGGCCTCCACGGCCTGTTACAGGGATAGCTTTACTTTTTTTTTTACTTTAACATATAAAATTTTAATTAGGTACTGTTTTATATAGAATGTAAAAGAAAATCAGGCAAATAGGTGATTAATTATTTAATTTAGGCATATTTTAAAGCGGATTGCGGCATCATGACCTTACGATCAGAAGATAAAATGTTAAACGAAGATAATATCACATTCCATGTTTATTCTTTATATGTTCCCGCTGGTAACACGTAGGTTTGGATTTTTTAGTGTAAATCCCAGAACTTCTATTCGGTTCTGGAACGCAATACCCACTTTCAATTACGAACCAGCCTTTTATATGAGATCTAAGGAGATCATATGAGATCCACATCACAGTTTACATGTTTGTACTTCCAATCATAATTTTATTACAAATTTACTGGAACATTTTTGGACAATTTGTTCAATGGATTAATTTTATATTAATCTGTTCATTTTTATAATTTTTTTTATTGCTAATGGGGTGGGACTAAGTCCCTTGTACTGCGGCCAATTCTGGCCTATTGTACCAGCCCCAGATGATACGTGAGGGTTGATTGTGGAGCAATTGGTGGAATGAAGATTGGCAAGGGAAATCGAAGTACTCGGAGAAAACCTGACCCAGCGCCACTTTGTGTACCACAAATCCCATTTGACCAGACCCGTGATCGAACCCGGGCCGCCGCGGTGGGAAGCCAGCGGCTATCCGCTTGAGCTATGGCGCGGCCAATTTTTACAATTACTCCATTCGTTGTGAATGTTTATATGTTTTATCACCTCCCAGCCCTTGTTTCTAGGTATATAGAAATTGTTTCTAAAATAATGCAGAGTAGTCAATACGAACCTCGATGGCAGATGTAGCCAACTTGCACGTCACAAGGAGAACGCAGAACCACGACGTCTCTTGAGCTGGAGATTATCATCTGAGGGCAGCCTTTATCAATGTTGAGGCACTCTGGGGACAGCTCTTCCCCTCTCTGAGCTGATTTCTTACAAGATGGCCGTGGTATTCCATCATCTATTACACCGACCCAGAACTGACCATCTTCTGAAAAGAAGAACATTTCTGCGTAAGCCATGACCATACATTGATTACTCCTGGAAAGATCTCTGATGTCGTTACGTTAAGCTTCAATCTTATTAAGAAGCAGGGTCAAACTTTCCGGTTCACTTTCCCTTAAATTCGTATCCCAGACTCTTTGATTCCTGATTTACGCTTGGCGGGAATAAATCCCTCCTCAAAATCATTTACGATATATTCAAGAAAACCATACTGTGGCGTATAGACCCGTTATTAAGCAGTGACGCCGTAAACAGCGGCCCTTGCTAGGCAACACAAGCAACATACACGCGCTCGACAGTAGAAGAAAGGTGTTTTCTATGTGGTATGCGCCGCGGCCGTTGTTATGCAAAGGCACGGCAAACACAACTCTACAACAATGGGGAGTTGTGTTTTCTGCGTGGTCCATGCCAAGGAGTTCTCTCAACGACAACTGGCGCTACAGTTTATTTGTGGGATATTCGCCGGATAATACAGACGTGAGCATGCAAGATAGGATCCGTTACCAGGCAACGACTATTGCAGACTATAACAAACTGAGAACACTAGTCTGTGTGTGTGTCAGTGATCTGTAAACTGTAGTCACGAATCGCGAGTGTATACAAATAGTCAATAAGTGAAGTTTCAAATCCAAACCCCGTCTATAGTCACTAATACACATGACAATGCGTAGTTATATATCCATTTATCTATTTTATATGTAATCATTAAATCATCAAAGTGTTAATGTACCTAAGGAAAAACAAGCGTTTTCGTCTCTAGAAAAGAAGAAATGTTGAAATGAAATATACAGAGTTGTTTTCCACTTCAACATATTCGCAACACGGACAATATCGACCTGCGTGTTCAGTGTTAATGTGTACCTTCATAATTGACCTCAAGCCCACTTATTTTTCTGTCCAAAATATAGAGAAATGCCTATTATGTGATCAGAACGAACTTAGAAAGAAAAGATTTGAGGCTTTCACGGCGGTGACTATGAAGAAAGCAGTCTTCTGGGATTTGGCACCGTGTATATATGGTGTTAACCGACGTTTCGGAGGAACGTATCGCCTCCATCTTCAGGGTAGAAGAAAAAATATATAAGAAATCTGCAAGCAAAGAGACCGTGAGAACCGGTAAAAGCACTCTGTCTGCTTTTACCGATTCTCACGGTCTCTTTGCTTGCAGATTTCTTATATATTTTTTCTTCTACCATGAAGATGGAGGCGATACGTTCCTCCGAAACGTCGGTTAACACCATATATACACGGTGCCAAATCCCAGAAGACTGCTTTCTTCTTAGAAAGAAAACATTCACCGTCCAATTTAAGATATCAATAAAAATATTCTTACAAGATATAGGAAGCCAAAGAAACCACACTTCAGTGAGGACTTCCGGTGCTTTGCCTGTGAGTTAATCTGCTTCAGCACTTTGTACACAGGTGCAAACAAATATGATAAATTAAACGTAGAAATATATAAAAAATTCTTCATAACATCTTGTTATGAAGTTAATAGAGTCAGTATTCAAAGAAAAACCCAGATTTATTTCTAGTCATCCTCTGTGAGTCTCGGTTGATATAATATTATTCTGCCACTGTATCGATTTGCATTTCCAGAGAATATAATAACAGGGTGTCTAAAAATGTATTTGAAGGGAATGTGGATGAATGCTTCGGTGGCCTTTCTCGGGCACTATCCTAACATTTGCCTCGAGGGCTGCGGAAAATTAAGAACCTCATCCAGGAAAGTTGGTTCCAGGCTAGGAAATTTCGAAGTAGGAAAGAGGGTGCTATTCAATACACTAGGAAATTTGATGTGTTCTAACTGTGCTTGTAGCAGACTCACATTTTCACACTCTCACAATAGAGCAATCAACAACTTTACCTTCAGAACTAGTCAGATGTGGAAATAATTGTCGTTGAAATGTATTTCAAACATGCCTCGTTACCTGTCTTCTTCATGAATTCGGTGACGGAAATTTACTTCATATATACGTCGTGGGTATTAACACTGAACACTGAGACGTGACCTAAATATAAACAAGTTGTAATTACTGAACTACGTATAGCCTAGAAAGGCCATACCACGTCCATTTCAACATCACTGAATACTTCTGAAGAATTCTGATTTATTTTATTATTCACTAATTGAGGCCAAGATCGAAATTAGAGAACAGTAATTTGAAAATAAGAGGAAATAAACGTGGAAATTATATTCTACGTGTCTTATCGAATTTCAGATAAAACCATACCTTAACGAGTGTAACTCAGAGTAAGACATATTTGAGCTGAAGATTAAAGGATTGTTAAAATGTCGATTTAATTTGTGTATAAGGAACAACTTGCAAGCACAGTATCACAGTGATGAACCCAAAAGTTCATTACCGTGTTCACAAGAGCCCTCCACTGATCCCTATCCTAAGCTAGATCAATCCAATTAATACCATCCCATCCTATCTCTCTAAGATCCATTTTAATATTGTCCCCCCACCTACGCCTTGGCCTTCCCAGTGGGAGCAACAGGTATACAGAGTGAGAAATCTATGTAATAAAAAAGGAAGTTGCACTGAGTTCTGATCGGAGATCAAAGTTTAATGTTAAGGTGGGTGGTAGAGACATTAACCAGTGCTTGAAGGGTTGTCGGCTGTACTGCTAGGACAAATATTTGAACAGTGCCTTTAACAGGCCAGGACCGCTTTCATCAGAATCACGTTGCTCGTTATTCAGGACAAGAGCCATATCTCCGCCCAATAACCCATAAAGTTTATATAAACTACTAACCAAATAACTTACCAACCAACTCCATGGAACTGAGACTACCTTTAGAACCCAACAGTCGCTCAGCTTCTCAAGAATTTCCCAACCCAATGATTCATTACCGTACTCACAAGAGCTCTCCACTGATCCGTATCCAGAGCCAGATCAATCCAGTCCATGTCGCCCCATTATATTTTTCTACATCTAATATTACCCATCCACCTACTCTTGGTCTTCCTAGTGGTCTGTTTCCTTTTGGCTTTCCCACCAACATCATACATGCATTCCTCTTCTGTTCCATGCGTGTTACATGTCTTTGCCCACTTCATCCGCCTTGACTTGATCATTCTAATTAAAATTGGCTAAAAGTGCAAGTTTTGAAGCTCCTCATTACGCAGTTTTGTCCAAGCTGCTATTTTTTTCATCCCCCCTGCTTCCACATATTCTTCGTACCCTTAGTGTGTATCCTTCTTACAATATCAGAGACCAAGTTTCACACTCATACAAAATTTCATAAACAGTCTATAAATACAATACGAAGAAACCAGTGATCATTTGACATGTGGTGATATTGTGAAAACATAAATATTTTTAAAAATTACCGGCATTCTTAAGCGATAATTTCTGTTACACATCAGTTTCCAAAATTCTGTCAATTTATGCTCTTGCTTCAGAGTTTCGCGGCAACACAAGTCAAAGAGAGAAGATTATTACACTTTACATTAAAAACTGAATGCTTTTTTTTTTTAGGCAGGAAAATGGAAGACAGAAGAATTCTAACCTGACTCTCAGCCAGCATTTCCTTAATTTAAATTTATCTTAATTTCTTGATGAATGCAATTTCGATCCCTTTCTGCCGTTCGTTCTTCCCACATACTTTAAACTTTATCACATTTTGTAATGATAACAACTGTGATACTGTTTTGTCCTCCACTGTGACCACGAGACATGAATATAAATGCCTACTCAGATTTCTCTCTTTACGTGTAGGTCCAATAAGTTCGGGCGTTCTTTATTATGATACTGTCCCTTGTATCGGGTGACTGAGATTCGGGTTTTGATTGGTAATTGGATATATTGGATACTTACAGGTCGAAACTACAATTAATTATTACACTATCGATGATGTACACAATTTACAATCACTCCAAACTAATCTCTTCAGTCTATCTGCATGGGTTTATAATACGGGAACTACTTGTATAACAGTCTCACTGAATCACACACTCCAAGTATTACACAAGATTGAAGCCTTCTAATGACACTTTTTAAGATTCTAGAGGTCGAAGTAATTTCCGTGGCTACCTTCTACCGAGAAGAACTGAATCGTAGCGCCGTTTGTTTTTAAAATAACTCATTTGCATGGGCCACACATAAGACACCGTCTTCCATTGTTGCTTAAGCATGTTTACCGCTGCGTTGCCTGGCAGCAGACTTCCTATATCTCCGTGCTTTGCTCGGTGCGGATTGCATAGAAAACACAGTTTCCTTATTGTTGAGGTTTGTTTACCGAGCCAATTCTTAACAAAGCTCTAGCCATCCACGTTATAATATTCATGTTTCTCCCGAAAAATCATCATCAGTGTAAGCAGAAATTAATACGTCCCACTGAATTCAAATCCCTCTTGGTTTCCTTAGACCTTCCTTATCGCATATTATAAATCAAAATTGAAGAAAAATGGAGATAAATTACCCCCTTGTTTCAGAAAATAATTATGGATAAGAGCATAAGCAAGTCTCTCCCTTATTCCGTGCGGATAGAATATAATTTTAATTTTTAGAATTAGGGGTGTGATCGTGGGGTCTAAGGCATGAAATGTCTTCGTCCGCTCAATCGACGAAATCGTGGATTCGAATCGCACTCGAGGAATGGATATCTGTCAGCGTTTCTTCTGTGTTTGTGCTGTTTTTGTAGGTAGAAGCCTTACTACGGGCTGATCACCCGTCCAGAGAGTTCTATCGACTGCCTATAAATTTCAGAATTCATTCTGGTAAGAATCAGACCAGATGGCCTAATACGAAAAGTAGAAGAAGAATTGCAGTTGTAGTTACGTGTATGAATGAATACAGATGAGTTTTGGATTGGTAACTGGATTTACTGAACACTTACAGATCGCAGCTACAAGTAACTGTAGCAATATCGCTAATTCACACACTCTACAATTCACTACAGCACGCACTAAATATTCCCAGTCTGCTCTATCTTCATTGGTTGTCGCCTAGTAAAGGCTTTCTACGCAGTAGCTT